ATGTATCTAAGTTTACCTGTGAATTCTTTGAGCATAAAAGATTTAGAGAAGAGATAATAGAATGGTCACCATCAAGTCCTGATATGAATCCAATTGAAAATCTATGGTCAATTGTAAAGATGAAATTATATGAAGGTGGCAAACAATATAACAGCAAAGCAGACCTACCATGTCAGAAATAAAACCTGTTGAAGTAAAAAAATTAAACTCAACCGATAATAGATTACTGACAGTTATTGAGAAGAAGGGCCACTATATTAAAGTGTAAAGGATTCAAAGATTTACCATGTACTTGTTATTCATTCTATTATAGGTGTTGATCAATTTTGATGATTTTATTACCTTTTTTATTAAAGTTGCAAAAACTGATATTTTAAAAGTGTGTGTATATATATATATATATATATATATATATATATATATACACACACACAGTTAAAATATCTGTTTTTAAGGCTTTAATAAGATTTTGTACCCACCACTGACTATTTAATTACTTTTTCTTCAAGAGCATCCAGATTTACATTTTGAAGTTTTTTTTTATTTCCTTTTTATCATGTTAATCTGAGGTTAAGAGCTGACACAAGACTTGAGAATTTTATTAGTTGGTGAAATGTAGTATAGTGTTATTGTTTTGGAGACTAGTAGCTAGCAGATTTATTAGTGTAATGAGCCCAATCTTCACTCAATATCCTACAATTGTAACTTTATTCCTGAATAAACCAAGTAAGCATCTACAATTATTCAAATTCTTAAACTCTTGGAAACTAATGATACTGTATAAAAAAAAAAAAAGTTAGAATAAAATCTTAGGAATTCATGCCACAATCTTATTTATCAGAACTAGGGCATCAATATTGTAAGAAAGAAGTTATAAGATTGATTAATGTAGAGTAAGAAGAAAAAAGAAAAGAGGAATGGGAATGTGGCTTAGACATAGTGAAGATAAAAATGATGAGAATATACTTTTTCCATTTGTGGGTAATATTTAGGTAATATTATAAAAATACCATAATTATAATATTTTCATTGCAACTGTTCTGAGTTCTCCTCCTTGATAAATTGGTAAATAGGCATAATTGTTTTACTGTTGAAATAGATGTAACCATAAGTTCTAGTCTAATATTTTTCTAGCATATCTTGCCTGTGAACTCTTCCAGTTTCTTGCTTCCCTGTCACCTATGTTCTTACTCTAAAAAGTAAAATCTACTATAACTATGAAAAGCAATTTTTAATTTTATACAGATTTATTTGGAGATATTTTGAGGTTATATATATATATATATATATATATATATACCCAAAATATGAAAACATTTATATAGTTTACATTCTTAAATAAAATGCAATGTACATAAATAAATATATATTGGATATTCAGTATAATATAGCAACAACTCGTAGAAGCAGAAGCTTATGAAACTTTATTTGACTAATTCAGCTTTTACACTGAAAACATTTTATTATAATGAATGGTGAGAAGGAAGATGGGATGTGCTTATTTTATTACCACATTTTATATTTACTATATACTGTTTTGATATTCTATTGGTTCACATTAAAAAAAAACAAAAAAACAAAATTCCATTAATTTTTCAGTAAATTAACCTAATATTTTCTAATTCATTAAGTGATAAATTTTCTAAATTCTAAAATTCCTAATATATAATCTCAATGATGATGCACAAATTGATAAGGCATAAGAAACCATGAATCTCCACAACTTCCTGTTTTTTGCTGCTCAGTTATTTCAGATCCTTTACAATTCCTTTGTCCCTGTTCTGTCATCCATTCACACAATTTCATTAAGTATGTTACTCACCATTTCCCGTTTTTCATGCCTTCTCCTGTGAGTGATTAATTTGCTAAACCTTCTTTCCTCAGTATCCCAGAAATTTCAGTTGTCTCTTTTTAAATTGTCTTATTGTTCCTATTTTCCTTCAGACTTCCTCATTGCTCACATGTTCCAGCCACTGTATTCTTAGACTAGAAGTTAACGTGGTAATATTATTTGATCTTACTGAATCTGAGTCTCACTGGTTGCTCATAATAGCAACCAAGCTAAGCTTAGTAAATACCAACATTAAAGTTCAGTGACTACATTTATATTTTTAAACACCATTACAGGAATTCAAAACAAGTATAAAATATTCATCAGAAAGCCCTTTCTTGAAAATTTAAAAAAAAAAAAAAAAATCTTGCTGTAATGATAGTGACGTTTTTAATACTATTATTCACCCAACACAAAGCTCAATAGCTATTCATGGTAGAGGGTTACTAAATTAAATTGTTGTAAGGGTGTACAAGGAGGTAATAATAAGTTCACATTATGAGGATATTAAGGAAAGATAATGGTTGAGCTTAAACTTTAAGTTAAGATATTAGTGATTGGAGAAGTATCCTTTCAAGAGTGTTCCACAATGTAACATTTCTGGGGAAGAAGCTGTGCAAGTGGAACTTCCTCCTTACCAATGGAACATGAAGTAAATACAAGTCAACTAGGTGTATGTAGCATGGAAGGTTCTAGCTGTAGTAAATGTCTGCATTAGTGGAATTAAGGCATGTTGTTTGCCTGGATATCTGCCAAGAAATTAGCGATATGGCTAGCAATGTTTTGTCTGTGGGGAAAGGAGTTGTAAGGTGGAAAATAAATCATCACCCACAAGGCTGCATAAACACTTTTGACTTCTGTCAAAACTAGAGAGTAAGGATAAGTCAGCTCCTACCCAGATATGGCAGATGTATATTAAAAGCGAAAACTGAACTGTTCTATTCACTCATGCAATGATTTAAGATAAAATTTAAGTGACTAAGTGAAAATCATAATAAAGTGAATATATTTCTAGTTAGAAATTCACCAAATAAACCATTTCCTAACAATATTTGCTGAGCAGTGTAATAGACAACATTGTGAAATGGTTCTTGGGTGCAAGATACATCAATTAATTGCATACATGCAAACACTTGCACAGATTGTTCTTGACAAATGCTTTTGTCAAGTAAGAAAGATGACTGCTTATCATGAAGTCAGTAACTTTAAGTAGTTTTGAAGTAAAATATATAAAAGTTACGAGACAACCACAAACTTTGGTATTTCAAGAATTTACAGATGAAATAGATGATATAAAAATACCTACCATAACAACTCATAGTTTCAAAATTCAACAAAACTAACTAAAAGTTGCTTACAATAAAATACTGGGGGCAAATAGTGGGGTGTTTTTTGAGAAAGGGAATTTGTTCTCATGGAATACAGCTGAAATAGATTAAAAGTAGCAAGTATACAAAGATCTGAACGTCTAAACAATACTGGACATATTAGTGACTAAATTATAGACAATACATCTATCCATTTACCAATCCTTCCTTCCTTGGATCCAAAGCCAATTGCTGTCAATAGCATTCTGGATAATCACTTTCAAGTGGAATCATTCATAGTTGTTGAAATTTATTATGATTTTGTTTTACAGACACAGTATTTTTACCCCATGTCTACTTTTGTATAGCTTTAAGTGGCTGAGTTTTGAAATCAAAGTTATTCTTCTCCTAGATTGATACCAACCATGGCCACAGAACCCAGTCTATTTTATTATTTAACACATAGCTAGGAGGAGGAGAAGAAATGGATTTATACCTTTGTTTTTACCTACTATCCATTACACTAATTGTGCATCCAAATACAAATGTTGGCAATTTATAATCTTCTATGTGCTGCTTCCCTTCATGATGTGAGTGATCATGATTCTCCACAATTTCCTGCCCTTTGTAGCACATAGTAAAATTTGTTTTTTTTTGTTATCTCTCTTAATCCCTCTTCTGCTAGGTTATGTGGTGCTTTCAGGAATTTCAACTATCTCTTTCTGATTCCAAGTACAAGTGTGTTTCTTGTTTCCATTTTCTCTAAAACTTTATTACTCTCAGGCTCAGTCCATGGTATTCCTAGTATCCTTCTGTAGAACCACATTTCTGTTGCCTCAAGTCTCTTTACCTGTGAGGAGATTCTTGACCATTCACTGCCATATTGTGACAAAATAACTTCAAGTTGGCCTTTTTAAAAAGGGATTTAAGAAGTGATTAAGTGCAGATATTGATTCTTTATAAAAGCTGTCTTCCTAACCTTACAAAAAAAAAAAAAAAAAAAAAAAAAGCTAAAGTTGCTGAGTTTGAAAAAAAAAAAAAAAGAAAAAGTTTGTTAGTAACTACTCTGGATACACACACCAAACAAATTGTAAAATTTCATACCAAATCCTCTGATTTATCTGTATTCTTACTGAGACAAAATGCAAAATGTAACATGTACACATCTGTATGTCTAAAATTTGTCTGCTGCCGAGGGCATACCTTTGAACCTACTTTATTTTAGAGCAATGGTGTGTGTGTGAGAGAGAGACAGAGATATTCTGAAATTGAGTTTATACTTATTAAAATTTTCTAGCCCATAAATTGCCAGAACCAACCTAGTTACATATTGTATCATACTGAGGCAAGGTTACTGGGTAGGGCAAATTAGGCTACTTTTGAAAACCATGTGCTACAAAATTTCATATTGACTTGAAATTAGCCTAACTTATTTTAAAAGTAGAAGTCATAAGTAATAAAACTTAAATCTTCCTATATGGCAGTGAATGCTGGGTAATTTCCTCAGAGGAAGAAAAGACTACAGAAGAATATTGAGAATATAATAGACAGAACATGTGAGCAACAAGGAAGATTAGAATATTTTTTATTTATTTACTTGTTTTTTATGGCTTATCAACTTTTTTGATGTTATTTAAAGCTGAAACATTTTTTGAATGCAAGAAACTTTTTGGAGATAATGATTTTCTGATACACATCTTATTATTTAACCCATAGCTGGGAGGAGAAGGAGGTGGATTAATACCTTTCTCAAGGGTATTTACTTGTAAGTGAATATAACAAACCCAACTAGAATTCCAATTTGGCACTGATTTCTCATTCCAAACTTTTATCCATTACATCACCCATGCATCCAAGCTTGAAGTACCTGGTATTCCCAAGCAGTCACTCACCTAGGTACTGACTATGTTCAATGTTGCTTAACTTTGGTGATTAGATGAGAACCTGTGTTTCAATGTGATATAACTGTAAGCCGAAAATTTCAAAATGGAAATAAAAATCATTTGTATTTAGAAGTTTGAAATTTCTAGCACACATGATGAGGATAGAGGGCTTGAAGAATTTGGCACTCACATGATATATTGAAGGTAAGAGAATCAGAATGAAATACTGAGTAACCTTTCTGACAAATTTGTGTAAATGGATGGCAGAAAAGGAAGTGGGAAGGACAGTAAAAAATAAATATTGCTAAGTGTTACAAAGGATAGGAAGTTGTGGATATCCAAGCTCACCAATGTACTGTAAAGATATAACACATAAAAATAGTGCTGGGCTTTCAAAAGTCAACCATTCTAGCAACCATGGACTAGGATCTTCTTTTATGAAAAGGTCTCTGGACAGGTCATAAGATTAACAGAATTACTTGATATCAAAGGAGAAATTTTAGAATACTAAAATCTTGTAGAAAGACTTAAATTATCAGTATTACATACTAAGCAGTGAAAATGATGATGATTAAATATGGCATCTGATTTTAAGGCCGGTTTCTTCCGTGTTTGCAAAATTTAAGATGCTATCAAGTTAAATATTTTTAACAGAGTTGAGGATCCACATTTTAGAAATCTTCATCTTTATCATATTTCATTATTATACCTATAACAGGCCTACTATGTGTCTGTAATGCTTGGCTTAATTCCTGACCACAAGAGAATATCAGGGACAAATAATACTGTGAAAAAAAAAAAAAAAGAGAAAAAAAGATAATTTCAAAGCAGTTCATGTATTTCTTATCAAGGACATCTTGAAGAAAGTAATCAATGGTGTCAGTATGAGAGCAAGCAAGATTGCAAGAATTACTGATATAGATAACTGAAAATCTGGTAATGTTCGCTCTGCAAGAGATCAAACACTTAAAAAAAAAAATAATAATAATTTCTGGTATAAAGTGTAACAGTATGGACTCTTACCAAGAAATTATATGCCAGACTGATGTAATCTGGAACTAAAGATAGGACATTAGCTCAAAAGAAAAATGTCTGTGTAAAGGAACTGAAATATTCTATTTAACTATTCGCTCACTTCTAAAAAAACTTCTATATAGACTAATCTTTGTTTCAAAGAAGTTCAAGAGAATCTGTTGTATTCCCTCCCATTTCACAAATGGTGTACAAGGTTTAACTAGAATTTGGAAGAATATATTTGAGTAAAATGAAGGAATATTATAAGGACAGATGGAGAAAAAGATTATTTTTGTTTACTGAAAGTTTATTAATAGCTTATTTATTAGAATAACATTTTCATTTGTACTACTATTTGAATAATTGTTTTTTTTTAAAATGAAATTTGGAAAACAAACTTTAATTTTTATTCAAATTGAGAGGAAGAATAAATAAAAATCCTGGAATATAGTGAAATTTGCCATTTCTTCTACTCGTTAATCTTTTAACTAGATTATTATAGACCTATAATAGCCATATTCAATTACTTTAAATCTTGACCACTAATAGCTTTCCATTTTTTCTAATGATATACAATATACAGATTGAGTGTTGAAATTTGTTAAAAAAAAAATTTAGACAAAAACAGCAAAATTTATAATCAAAAATGTTTTCTCCACTACTGCTAGAAATATTTAGATTTTTAGTGAGAAAAAAATGGTGGCATATTTTTTTTTCAGTAGATAGAAAGAAAAAAAGTTCAGAGCTCAAAGCTGCTCATTGTTTCATTTTCTTCTAGTCAATCACTAGAGTTGTATATGATTATAGTGAATGAAAGTCTAATAAATCCACTACCAATATTACATAAACAGCTAATTTTTAAAATAATGAGTATTAGTGTACATATATTCAAAGGCTTTCATTATTTCAAACTATTGCTCTCATCTTGATCATTATAGATGTTATTATAGAAACAACATTTCAGCCAAGTACCTTGTGGCCATCATCAGGTGTCCATTGTTGGAGATATCTACTGGTTATTGTTTTTTTTTTTTTTTTGTCCCTGTGATATCACTTATTTGTTCCTGCTGAACCACTGTTCACAATCTGATCCAGAGATTGAACTTGTAACCAGAAGATGACAGTAACACATTTAACCAACTCTGATATCTATTACCCCACTGTCTTGAAGGATATCAGTGGTATATTTTTGAAACCTTTTATATTCAATGTCAGATGATTTCATACCACTTTTGATAATTTTATATTTCACTTTTGAGATGACGAATGAAATACATTATTTAAATGCTTCCCTCATAAGTTAAGGTTAGGCAGCTTATAAAAATATTCATTGTATCAAGTGAAAAATACTAGTATGATTAAAAAAAAAAATCAGTTTTAAAATTAGAGGTTTTCAATGAAAGTAAAGATTAAAAAGAGATGAATGACCAGTTAAAATGCCCCAGTTCATTAAATAAGGAATATTTTGCTGTTAAACATTCCTAAGTGGTGTTGACAATATTTGTATCCACACCCAGGCTGAATTTCCTCACTTGTTATCACATTTAGTACAGGCAGTCAAAATTCAAGGAAAAACAAGGGGGGGGGAGTTATTTTTACTTCATATCAATCTGATGAAGCTTTGTGATTTACAAGTTGCTTTGATTTTATTTAAAGACTATTATTGAAATGTTTCTTTGTAAAATATCATTGCTTATTTATATACAGTGGCTTAATATGAGCACAACATTATAAAACTCACTCTCAAATTTTATATCTTGATGATGTATACACATCTAAAATGTAGTTAATTCTTTGAACACTGACCTCCTGATGAGTATGGTATATACATTTTTACACATTTTTTGCCGCTTGGGCTCAAAAGGTTAAGAGACTGGAATAGTAACAAGAATCCTCCAAGTGAGATATCAGAAATATTAAAAAACATTGTTCTAATTCTAGTTTCAATGGAAAGTGGTTTAGTTTATTTTGATTTTATGGCATATCAACCTCAATGGGTCATTTAATATTGACAAAATTTATTGTTGGTAATAATTTTTTTAAATCTATTTTTGGTAATATTTTTCCTTCAAAAATCCTATTTCTGGTAATATTTTTCCTTCAAAAATTCTATTTCTGGTAATAATTTTTCAATTATGTATCACTGGTAATTCAAAGGAAAGTGGAAGAAAGAACTAATTATCAATTATAAAAAATGAAAAAACAAAAAAGAATATATAGTATTTAGTAAGAAGAACAGTCCAAGGTGTGAACTATGTCAAAATCAAACCAGAACAGAATTCTATATAGGAAATATCTCTACGGATAACAAAGTGTGACACAGAAATTTGAAGGTGAATTGGAATTGTAAAATATTAAAAACTGAAAAAATTTCATCAGAAACAAAGTAAAGAGTTTTGAACTGCTATGTAATCCTCCTATATGTCAGTGAATGCTGGACAATTTCCTCACAGAAGAAGAGAAAACTTGAAGCAACAAAAATGTGGTCCTACAGAAAAATGCTTAGAATACCATGAGTGGAATATGTGAGAATTGAGGAAATTTTAAAGAAAATGGGAACAAAAAGGAACATTTGTATTTAGAATAAAAAAGTGATAGCTGAAATTTTTGGGACACAATGAAGAGAGCTTATAGAATTTGACACTCACAGGGGAGAGGGAAACAGTAATCTAACAAGTTTGTGTAAATAGATTGCAAAGAAAGGTCTGAGAAGGATAGTAAAGGGGCAAATATGTTTAGAGCTACAAAGGATGGGAAATTGTGGAGAGCCATAATCATCCATGCTCTGAAGAGATAGCATATCAAAGAAGAATTACAGTTTATGGATACTCAAATTTTCATTAACAATTTTCAACTGATTAAACATACAAGTTAATTTAACAAAAAGATATGAATTTTATTAGATTTCTTGAGATTTCAAAAAAAGATGTTCCAAAGTAATCCAATATTCATTTTTACTTAAACTTTAAATCGTATTTGCAGTGTTAAATAAAATTAATATTTTACACTTAATTAGAACTTGAAAATCATAAGTTCACTGACAACAATACAGGGTTTCATTATTAAATTTATATGTCCTTTTTTGTCAGAATTTCTAGGATGAGGAATTACTATTTATAGTATTTATATTTAGATTATTGTCCTCATCTTTGTTGTTGATATCACAATGTTTCAGCTGGTGTGTCCTCTGGGCTTCCTTAGATGTATATGAATTTACAAGGAATTCTGAACTGAATACTATTTAATCCATGAGGATAGATGGTTCTTGTTCTACTGTCCATGTCTAGAGATATCTAATTCTTACTTTTATCTATTGCTTGCCTGTCTCTACTAAATCCAAGTACACACTGCCTGACCCAGGGATTGAACACACAATCACTTATCAAATAAATGAAATGCTTCAATTCACAAAATCATTGGTCCTGTAGATTAAATTAAAGAGTTCAAATATAAATAGTGTAAATAATTATATATCATTTATTTTGGCTGAGAAATATTTCATCCTTGAAAGTTAATTTTTTAAAATTTTATATACGAGTAAGTTGGGTATTATAAAGGTGGTTTTATTATTTTTTTGTAACTATATCTTGGTTTATATCAAGTAAAAACACTTGTTCTTTAACTATTTGCAATGGAACAAACATGCTTTGCTTAAATTCAACCCTTTGATCAGGAATCTTGAACTTTAAGAAGTAAAATGTTTTGAGAAAATTATGGAGCATATAAAAGCCTCTTCTGCCTTTATGAATTCAAATCATCTCAAAAATCAATATGATATGGACTCTTAATAACAGAATATATTCAAGATTATACAGTGACTACTGCTTTGATATTCAGTGTCTGTAAAATATAACAAAATACAAGATAATACTAATAAAGATTAGGTCTTTTTCATAAAATATATTTATTTAATGAACTTAAGTATAGAGCAATCCCAGAAGCAATGCTGATCAGTTATTGTATTGCTATCTAAATTGGAGATGCTATCAGTAAGCTTCTGAATACAGGCAAAATGAATGAGTCACCAAGAGAAATAACAGCTGATGACAACAGATTAAAACACAAAAAC